TCCCGATCGAGCCCGACGCTTTTACCATATCACGTGAATCTCTGATGTCGCGTTTCAAATGACGTAAGCGTCTGTCGAGTTTCTTGATTACTCGATGGAATATTTTAATTACCGCCTGCCCACGTGTACAAAGTCCTTCGCTTTCAGATTTCAAGCGTGCGGATCTCGTAATGCCGTATGCAACGACACAATCCGCCGATACGATGACAAGCGGACAACCTTACATGAATCGTTATCAATCGTTGCACAGCCAATCTGCGAGTGTAAACCATGAGATAGAGATATAAACGAGGACATAATTACTAGCGTACTTCGACTAATCTACGTAACGATCGTGAAACGTCGCGATCACGCGAGAGATGCTGCGAAATTCTCACCACGATCAATGTTGACTATTAACCCTCGCGTAGCCGACACCGGGTCACCGTTGACCCAGAACTTGAGACGCTATATATGTACAGGCAACGATAATAAATATGGTACCAAATGTGCCAAATGCAAAGAACATGCAATAAAACACAATAACGTTGTCTGTACGCAATACACATAAATAAAAAATATTATAGTTTATAAAATTTTACATTTTTTAAACAAACTCCGTGCCTTCCCATGTTATAAACATTATTAGATAACATCCTGTAAAAAGTTAGGTGAAAAGCAAGTATAATAAAAATTCAGCTATGGGTCAACAAAAAGTGACTCGGTATAGGCTCGCCGCGTCGCTAATTTACGTCGGCTATTCGAGAGTTGTAACTGTCGAGAGATGGAAAGACTTCAGTTGAATATGATTGGATCTAGTTCACGCTGAATCAATGGATACACGTCTAGTGGCTCTAAATCTAGTGGCCAAATCTACTAAAGAAAATTGTGTAAATAACGTAGAACCAGTTGGATTTCTCTTGCCTCTGTAGAGTCTTCGCCGTCGTCTCTTTAGCTTTCTACCGTACGTACGTGTTCGAGACGATATGACGGAGGATGGTGGTGTTTGGAAAAAGACCAGTAGTGAGCAGTTCAGGTGAATATTCAGTCGATCGGGGAAACAAAGTAAGTAAAACAAACGCGATATCACAAGAAAAAACGGCTGACTGATCTACCAGCGGATTCGGCTAACTTCGAACAATTTTCGTTTCGTCTTGACTCGAATGACTGTGAATCGGTTGAAATGAAAATCCAAAGGCAAATACAACTTTGCCTTTTGTTCGAAACGAACCGAATTCAATGTAGCGAGCTACATCATAGTCAAGATCTAAAACCTGCTCGCTGCGTTTCTACGCGAACACCAGAGAGAGACAGAGTGAAGAGGTGGGGAAGACGCTGGTCAGAGAACGCCGAATACGATAATTGCGCTTATCGGAAGGTGACTCGCGGAAGGAATTCAAATAACAAGAAACCTGTCGTGCAACACGCCGAGAAAATCGCTCGGGGCGAGAAATTCTGCGAGAGAAAGGTGAACACCGGCGTACTGCCGACGGATCGGGCGAGGCTATAAAGCACGGCCGGCATGATTCTGTCGCAATTTACGGCAAGTGGAAATCGCAGCCTTGCTCCAGGCAAGGTAAATAGAGTGTCGACCACCACCGAGTGGTCGGTGAACACTGACAGCTGACAAGACGCGTTTCACAAACACGTTTTACAGGAACCACCGCGAATTTTCCTTCTTTTTCCTTTTTTTTCATTTTTTTTTTTTTTTTTTTTTTTTTTTTTTTTTTTTTGTTTTTTTCTCTTCGCGAAAAAGTCCGCGACTCCGTCGCAGTGACTTTCGAGTTACGTTCGAGCCGCAGACAATGATCCGTGGCACGCGACGCGTTACGAAATCGTCGCTTTTTGGTTACCCTATAAAATTTATTGTCGCTAAAAATAAAACGGTCGACCTACTATCGTCGCGCGTTTCCTCGAGCGTTTCGCGTCACAAACATCGCGATCCTCCTCGTCGGTTGATGTGCACACGCGCTCGCATCGCTTAAGAATGTTTTCATCGGTTACGACGTTACGAATCTTGAAGTGGGAAAGTTGGAGGGAATCGTGAGACAACGCTTGGATCACAAATTTGGATCGGAACTTTGACAGTGGACTTTGGTTTACAACAGTTTTGCAACAGTATCTCGTTACGAGATTGAATATTCAATATTTTTGAGATATTCGTTCATCAGGCTGCCGATATCTTTTCATTTACGAGTATAGAAACGTGCGTAATTTTACACTCGAGCGAATCTCTATTTAGGTTTCACTTTTTTAGTTTGAATCTGCATAAATAATCACAGGTGAACGCTTGTATATTTACATGAATATTTATGATTAAGGATCCTTGGTCGATGCATCGTTTCTATAATACTTATATGTCAGAGAAAATAGTGAATATCAGAAAAAATGCAATCAGCATCAGATGAAGAATAGAGTTTGTAAACCCATGATGGAGAATAGAGTTTGTAAATATTTCTATAAACAAAACGACAAGAGGTGTCGATTCAATTAAACCAACGACAATGAACTTTGCTTCTCAATAACCGGACGTCTCTTACAATTAAACTCAGTGGTCGCCGAGTCTAACAGAGTAGCGTCCGATTCTACTTTGTCGCTGACTGTGAGATGCGCGTTCCATCGGTAAAAGAAGGAAGCGCAAGTTAACCTGTCGAAGAACCGATGTCACGTTAACAGCGACATTTCATTCACAATGTTTCTAATCAATTTTCGTTATGTTTGTCGATCTATCTTCCTTGTCCCACAATGTCCCCCCGGCTGTGCAACGTTTTCTAAAGGAATTCCAACAATTCGCTATGTATACACCACATTGTTTCATAAACTTCAAAGAAGTCACATTATTTATAACTCGCGCGTACTTTATTTATAACGCGCGTAAGATATTACTGGGGACCTTAACGGGTTAACGCGCACGTTCCTTAAACTTAATAAGCTGTGCGTCGATCAACCGTTCCCAGTCTCTCGTTCGACATCGCGATCGAAGCAGGTGGAAAAATGAACGAGTGAAAAAAAAAAAAAAAAACCGGAGGAAGCTTCTACCGGTCCTGACGGTCGTCGGGCCCGAAAGTAAGCGAAGGGAGAGATGACCTCAAGATGATGATATCGGCAACGTGGTCGTCGCAGGGTCGTACCGCAGAGGTGGCAGAGAAGGAGAGCGAGAAAGTGAGAGAGTGAGAGAGAGAGAGAGAGAGAGAGAGAGAGAGAGATAGAGAGAACGAGAGAGCTCGGAGGAGAGAGGAGGAAAAGAGATCGACGAGGGAGACGCGGCAACGACGCCAGTGTTGCCTCGTGCAAAAATAACGTGGAAAGCCTGCTTTAAACTCAGCCGACCGCGCTCACTCGAAATATACGCAGCGCGCGCGCGAGCGAGCGAGCGCGAGCGCCTCCCGCCGCTTCCACCAAATCATTTTTAAATCTCATTGAACAGCAGACGGTTCGGAAAATTCGCATTAATTGCGCCACGCTTCGTTAATGACGACTGTGTAGTAACGCCCTGTCTAAACAGCAACGATGCGACGCGACGCGGCGTAGAACCACGCTTCGATCCTCCGGAACGTTTTCGCGTACACGCCGTAAATGGACGCCGTGGAAACCGACGCCTCCGGAGATCGTTCCGTTCGGTTAATCTTTCCTTCCAAACTGCCCGATTATTTTTAGAGGAAATTCTATTGGCTATCTGCCCCCGTTCAGCTGTTTAAACGGAAACGATCGAATCGAAAGCTGTTCGAAAAAGCTTTCCTTTGGTATTCGTACAATTTCGGATCACAGACTCGTTCGTGACGATCCTCCATCGAAACTAAAACAGCGAAAATACCAATCTTGTTTCCCTGTAAAAGCTTCTTGCTCGTACGCGATACGAACATGCGTAACCTAGTTCCTAGATTTTGAACGTGTGTCACTAGAATTTTATTTTCATTTTCGACTTCTGCTTGGATTAACGCTCGCGCGTTTCGTCAGAATATAACGAAACAGGATGCGTTATAATTTGAAACTAACTAGAATTTAATTACTTGGAAAATGGAACATCGATCAATGAAATGGTTCGTTAATGGAAAATTTGGAATCTTCTTTTTTTTTTTTCTTAATTTCTTATAAAACTGGTTAAACAGTAAGAACAAAAATCGAAAGAAATACTAAAGTATTTAAGTATTTTCAGATGCAAGCATCTTCCTTGATATAAGCAGTTCCCTATTTGCACGCTCGCTGTAAATATATCGAAGTAATTACTACTTGGAAGGCCAGATACTTATCTGTCCTTTCATATTTTGTGACAGAATTAATAACAAATTGGACATTCAGGCAGAGAAAGGTAACCTAAGGGACCTACAAAGACACTCGGTGTTTATGTTGTCAGTTCATATCTTAACAGATACAAGAACAATGTTTCTCTGTCTCGTATAATGTCTATCATTTGATAACGTTTTCACATTTCTCTCTGAAAGACTCATCCTCCGTAGAATTATAATTGAACGAATCGCAAAAAGGAAATGTTGTGCATGCTGTTCGTAAACAAGAAAGCTTACAGGGAACTCATAGATGATAAAAAGACGTAGATAATGTAACGTAGATAAGTATATTTGTTCAAAGGTGTTTTGACAACTTCAGGCTCCAGTCTTTTAATCCTCTAACCCATAAAGAATCCCAAAATAATTTCTTACAAAAATAATTGAGACTTTTCCGTCTCCGACGTGAGAAAAAAATAGATTGACTAGAAAAGAACTAGAAACGAAATGTGGATATTGATCTCGTACAAAACTTGAACCCGGAACAACATGAAAATGTACAAAAATTTCACGAAGAAGTACCCGAGAATTTCTCCTGGTAACTCCCCCAACCTCGAACGAACAACGCAAACGAACCTTTACCGCAGGAAAAAAAAAAAAGGAAAACAAAGAACAAAAAAATGAAAAAGAAATAAAAGACGTGGCGTGGCAGACCACGAAATCGGAGATTACGAGTTAACGCGAACCCGGGACTTTCGTAATTGTCCAACCACCGCCTCGGAGTCTTTTATTGCTCTGCGAACGCGCGAGACATCCACGTGGAAGACAAAGCCCGCTTTTCAGCCCGGCGTCGGAAACGGCATAAAATCCAGACAGAGTAAACGGGCAAAATAAGAGGCTGCGGTGAAAGAATGGCGCTTTACCGGGTGGATACCGATTCTCAGACCGATGTCTACGCTTGGTTACCGATTATTAAACGAACCACGGCTGTCTAATCGTCATGGACCGAACACCGTGTTCAGAACGTTGTAATGACGGCCACGACTTGCGGGCAACGAGTACTAAAACCGGACGGATGACCGACCTTTGCCGGTTTCATGGGCTGTTGCTGCTGCTGCTGCTTCTTCTTCTTCTTCGTACGAGCCGGCGATCCTGTAGCTTTGAGAAATCAGTCTGAACCCACGGCGCCGATATTGCTTAAGGGCTTTTCACGTTTCGAACACCGAGAGGAGAGGAGAAACCTTTCCGTCGCTTTCCTGTTTCAGTAATATCCGACCGGTGCCGGCATTCTTTCTGGATATCCTTGACTGCTTTCCAGCTCCAAGGTTGAATTTTCAATCAAAATTTTCAATCGGAGCGTGCACGCCTGAGCAATGAAATCACCACGATTTTCGACGAAATTCACCGGACTTAATGAGATACAACGTTGGACGAGGAATCGGTAAAAGGATGGAAATTTCCAGAGGAATTTCCCGCTAGTTTTGTGGAGCACGATGATTAAACTTAAAATCTGGATATCTCAGGCTCGTGTACACTGAAATAATTAATGGGAACCAGTGCCAGTGTCGGACGATGTTGGACGATGTCCGACGGTTTAAAACGTAGATATTGTAAACGCCACTGAAGGATGCATTCGCACGCGTACGGATAAGCAAACGCGATACCGAGTATCTGTTGAAACGTCACGCGAAAGTATGTCACGTCGTGCTTTGACGTGTCGTATAAAAAATTGTTCTGCACAATTTCAAAATTAATGATCCTAATCTGCCGGAATCTAATCTTTGTGCAATTTTGAATTTTACGAATCGTGAATCCTGAAAGGAGTGTGTAACCTGAGCAGAAATTTATTTCCAATGCCAACAAAAAAAAAAAAAAAAAAAAAAAATACTTTACTTTCACGTTACACGCTACGCATATTTTATGCGATTTTTGCATCCTGAAACACCCCCGTGTAGCGCGTAAAAATCGGCAGCCCGCTAATCGGTAATAGGATCTTTTACTCCGTAGCAGAAAATTTATTGGGAGCAGAAGCAGCTAGAGTTTGCCTTGACTCGCAGAACAAAGTACTTAAATGACGCGACGAAGCAGTAAACATTGAGACGTTAAGTCTCAATCTCAGAACCATGGCCATAATACACAATAGTTATGCACGTCGCAGATAATACCGACTATCCTCGTTTATTTATACTCTTACTCGTACACGCGACCGGCCCCGCGAGTAGAAAACACACGACGCCGGAGATACAGATATTTATACACAGACACCACGTGATTGCACGCTGTTTCGCGCCTTGCATGTGAACTTTGCAGCTGCACTAAACGGATTTTTCGCAACCAGACTCTCGGAGCTACATGGCTACCTTCTGAACCTCCGGAGCCGAACGTTTTTACCGATCACCCACCCTTCTCGTCTCGCTTTACAGTCCGCTCGAGAAAACGTCCAGCATATATATTATTGACACTTATTATATGCGCCACGTATCTCGCCGGGGCCGTATTAATAAATCTTTCGAAAATTTATCCCGTGAGATTCTTGCACCCGATAGCTTTCTCATGTGGCTTGTCGTTGGAATTGTTTTATGGTGGACGATGCGAACGAAATGCTTTTCTTTCTCTCTCTCTCTCTCTCTCTTTCTATCGACAGTCATTTTTGCGCATTCGTGAATTATTAATTATTTAAATGTGAATTACAAAGAGAGATATTTTTGTCGAATTACGTGAAAATAGTGCAGCGATCTCTTTGCACGCGTAAATTTAACATAACCTCGTGAACTAGAACCTTTTTTGCACGCATAAATTGAAAATGATCTCGATCTCGTTTAATCTCGCGTGTTTCGATTAAGATAAGATAGAATTATTCGAGTGGAAAGGATATTCGAATCGAGCCGAGTAATTTGTAACTTAACAAATTCAATCGCGAGCAATTTTCAGCAATCTAATGCTCGAAAACAAACTATTTAACTTGTTATTAGCGAAATACATCGTGTACTTGCATTGGTAGCTCGCCGGTCATGGAATTCTACGACGATGCAACTTTTACTCGACAAAAAGGAAAGTTTGTTCGATTAATATGTTAGCAGAATTCTCAATTGTAACTATCACGATTCATCTCGCGTGTATTACTTTGTCTCTAAAAATTATTCCGTCTAACGCAACTGAACTCTTCACAACAACGTCTCATTAATTCAGGTAATGCTATCGCCAAGATGCACGATATTTTTCAAGTCATAAATTAACTTCAGCGCTATTGGAAATTACGACTAACAATATTTCTATTGTTTCAACACTTTTACTCGCAACTTGGGTATTTCAAACGGTGTTCCAATTTAATTTACGACGTAGTATCGTAACAAAAATTACGTATAATATGCCTCGTATAATATACGACGTGCGATCATTGCTGACTATTTCGCGTAAAGTTCAAGATCGTGTACAGCAAGACGCTACTACGGTGACTCGAGTAATCCTGCCGGTCCGTGTTCACGTTCAGCTAAAATATCACCGATGGAAATCGCGACGAGGCATAATCGTCGACGAGGCGTCGCTGTTTACCGGGAAGCCGTATTTATTTCCCTCGATTTCAGAACAACTCGCAAAAGTGGTCCGCTTTGAGGGAAAAGTACCAACGCGGGAAAAGTTAACTTCGCCAACTGTTAAACCGCGGCAGATCGATAGCGTGCTTTTTTTAAATTCCGATGTAACGGAGATGTGTGCTGCACGCGCGTCGTTAGAAATCAGACCGCGGCCGAGACGCTGCTAATATACGCGTGAAAAGAGGCGCGCGAGGCGGCCAGCCAACTTCCAACATCAAGATCTCGCCGTCACGATTTTTATATTCATTATTCCCCGGCTGAATTCTCGGGCGGAGGATTTCGATTCACCGAGAACGACGGCCGAGAAAGCGGCCGCGTGAAATTCCTGCCGGTTTCAGAAGGCCAGAGACCGTTTTCCGCGCGAGCGGGGAACGGCCACGCGTAAAACGAAAAGCAAGAAACAAACAGAAAAAAAAAAGAAAAAATCTTTTTACGCCGGCGTACGGCAACTCAATCGAGAAAATAAACGTCCGCAATCGGAAAAAGCCAGAACGCGTATGAAAATCACGCGGACAGAAGTTCAACGCGGAGAACCTGTTTTCTGCGTTCTGTCGTCCCTTCTTTTTCTTTTTTTTTCTTCTTTTTTCTTCNTTTTTTTTTTTTTTTTTTTTTTTTTTTTTTTTTTTTTTTTTTACATACCACGAATATTCTTTACTCGTTGCATTGTGCCGTACACTATCGTTCATAAGTGTACGAACGTTTTGCAACGTGACGGTTTCCCCGATTTCAACAAAGTGTACAAATTAATGAGACGAATTAATTAGACGCGACATTTGCTACGTTAAGAGATTCAGCAATATAACGTGTTTGTTTTATAACTTTCCTGAATTTCGCGATACGTACGTAACAATTGAGCGGTGTGTGGAATTATGATACTTGAGAAAAGATCGTGGATATATTTCTGATTATCGAATCAGTTATTCTATTATTTATTTGGAATTTATTCTTCCACACGAAGAAACCAAAATACGATATTGTTACGATACACTGTACGATTTGTTATGAAAAATAAGAAAACGTCCATTTTTGGACTGTACTTTTGGACGATAGTGTATATCCACGCCGAAAAAATCTAAAACGCCTGGCTGGCGCCTTTCTCTTTCTTCCTCTCTCTTTTTCTCTTCCCCTATCTCTGTCACGAGTATTCACGGTCAACGTTTCGACAGTGACGAGAGAACATGAGTCGCCGAGTCTCGTTAGAATCGCTGTAAACCAATCGCGAATACGACCGTGCGAATCAACGCAATAAAGTCCAATAAAACGCAAAAAAATCACGGACAATCTGACCGTAAAAATAGTTGCATCTAATTATTTACAGGAAACTTTATATCATTCGATAGATAGTGCGCGAAGAATTATCGATTAATTTCCTGTTACCGATCGTAGCTTTGAAACCTTATGCGCGGTGATTTTTTTTAGAGATTTTTCAATCGACTCGAGTTGCGGGCATTTGTTTAAATCTGTATCATTTGCAATCTGACAGATTAGTGCAAAAAGAAAACAAAAAGTAACAGAAGGAAGATACAACTTTCATATTTATTTAGTTAATTGAAATAAGCTCAAAATTAGTAGCTTTCTCATATAAGATTCATTTTGTAAATTTTGCAGTTCCCGATTTGGCCAATATTTGCTCAACTGATAATTGCAGCGCAAAGATCGATTAACGTGAAAACAAATATTTTACTTAACACGAAAACTGTCAGATGCATTTTCCATTTTTCTATCGACCAATAAGAACGCCAAACACGCGCAATTTGTCGGTTTAAATGCGATGTTTCGTTCGCTACGAGAAGCGTCCTAACAAACGCGCATGGCTATTACGTAAGACGAACGCGGGAACGCAAAAACGACGAAAAGGACGCGTTATATGAACCACGAAAGATAGCAGCTTCCTCCGATGGGTTTGTTAGTGTCAAACACGTATTAAAACACGCGCTCCAAAAAGCAAAAGTTACGCATTTACACATTAGATTTTTACAATTTTCCAGCTAATACCGTGAAATCTCATATTATTATTTCATACACGTGTATATTTTCGTATCACGCGCAATCTACAAGTTCTTTCGTACACTTGAATTTCCAGTTAAGGCCTCTCAAAAGTCAAACTGATCAACTCCACTTTTTCACTGGCTCGTTAGTTTCATTACGCGCCATTTTATTTCACAAGCGCGCCATTAATATCCGATCCCAGTAAGTTTCATTTATTGCAAGAAGACGATATAAACGACCCAGAGACAGACTACCAAGATCAATTTCAAAAACAATTTACGGAGTGGTGGATCGGTAGATTGTGGCATTGACTATCAAACGATCTGTACGAGAAGGAAACAGACTGACAATGAGCGACTAACCTTCCAACCAGCGCTGCTGTTGCTTTCTCCTTTTTCCCTGAAGTACGGGATATTCTGCATCATCCACTCATAAATCTGCGAGAGAGTCAACCGTTCGTCGGGGGCGCTGGTAATGGCCTGAGTAATGAGATCGGCATAACTGTGATTTCCCCAGGCGTTCCGCCGGGAGGAATTCTTCTTGACCGGAAGCAAGCCGGTACCTTGGCCGAGAGTGCCATGCTGAGGCGGCGTGCCACTTTCGACGCCTTCGACGCCCTCTTTGCTAGCCGATACGCTCGGCACCACGTTTCCCTCGATGTATTCCTCCGGTCTTGGCAGCGGCCACGTGTGCGACCGTGCTCTCGTCTGTGGTTCGAACCCGCTCTCAAGGTCGTACGGTACCCCCTGCTGTGGTTGCAACCCGGTCTTCGACCCCGACGAAACCGGCACCGAGTCCATCATGTTCGTTTCCTCTGTGTACTCCAGTTTGATCGCGAGCACCTCGCGAGGTGCTGTCCGCCCGTTCGCAAAGTCTGTATCGCGCCGCCTGTACCGCGAGAAACCGCGAGAACTCGCCGTAACGATCGAAAATCGAAGCTACCGACGATAACGATATACACACTGTCACTGTTTAGCCCCGGTGAAAACTACGCACTACGTTGGTAACAAGCGTCGAAAACCGAAAAGCAGAAATCGAACGAGTCGGGATCACTTGTTTCTTTCCTTTTTACCTCCCGTTATATCTCGTTTCCCTCGGGTTCTCTCGTTCCTCTACGTTCCGCGATTCGTCACACGGCTTGTTGTTTCACCGGCCGCACGACCGCGAACGATATATATCGCGCGCGCGGTGCGTATCGATAGGTACTCGGCGCGTGTGGTTGCGCGGAGAGAAAACGAGAAGCGGCGGCGAAGCGACTGCGAGGAAAAGCGGAGTATCGCTGAGTATCGCGGAGTATCACTCGAATCGAACTCTCCTGCAGCTGGCAGCGGACCGACCGAGAATACGCTACGCTGTACGTCGTTCTGCGTATCGCGAGCGAGCGAGCGAGACAGAAACAGAGAAAGAGAAGCGGCGCGAGAGGGACAGACGGCCGCAAGAGAGGGGGCAGACCACGTGGTCAAACTCACTGTTTACAAGCCGCGCCGTCGGTCACGTGGCCATGTTTTGATAAAGAACTTGGCCCACTGCGAGGAAAGAATCTTCGAGTTTGTTGCCTGGCGGTTTCTACGCGGCACGCTCTTGCGAAAACTTTTTGCGCCGGGGTACGGCTGGCCGTGTCGCGTCGCTTTTCGCACACGATCTCGCACGCACTCGGCCAATCTCGACGCGATCTCGACTCGTCGAACAGGCCAGACTATCGATGTCCTCTCTGCTCCGAAATCACCGCCTTTCTTCCTACTTCTCATCGATGTTCTCTGACCGAGTTCCCACTCCCTCCGTCTTCTCCAATTAATGAACACACTCGAACACTTTTGGTGAATCCTCGATAGATCTGTCTCTCCTCGGCAGATCAGCAGATCGAGACGGTGCAAAGGCGTCAGACAGTCAAACTATCAGAGCTTCTTGTACTTTTCGCAGCGCGATTGAACTATCTCTCTCTCTCTCTCTCTCTCTCTTTGGAGTCTGACTACTTTCTCGGTTTACACTGTAAATGCAATTCGGATATCTTCCAAACTATATTGTATCCGTGATCAGATCGTTCGCGCACTTTTCTTTTCTCTTTTTTCTTACTTTCTCTTTTCTTTTTTTTCTTTTTTATTTTTTTTTTCTTGATCCCTAGGAAAATCAAATCACCTTTACTCCTATGCACAACTTGCCGGCAATGCAGCGCGGCGAATACTGACGAATTCTTCTGGCCGGCAGCCGGAACTGACCGAGCGGAGCCGAAGTCTCGTGAAGTGAATTCGTGGCGCCTGCCTCCGCGCGTACGAGCGGGACGAGGACGAGGCGACAAGCGGCGAGGCGAGTCGGCGAAGGAGCGAGGGATCGGCGACGCGAGCGAGGCCGACTGATCGATCACTCGAACGTGCGACAGAGAGGACAGAAGGGAGATCGCGAGCGTAGCGAACGAGCGATCTGGTGGGTGGTTCGGCGCTGTGGTGGGGATGAACAGGAAAGGTGGGGGCGAAGTAACGGAGTTGGAGGAAAGGAGAAAAACGCGGCAAGCGGGCGAGCTTGGTAGCAAAGAGGTTAGCGGAACGGGAGAGGGAGAAAGAGGCAATGATCCGGAATGAGCTGGATAAAGGGTGGAGGGAGTGAGAGACAAGCGGCGAAGGGAGGGAATCGGTGAGGGCAGCGTGGTCGGTTAGATCGACAAGGTGGGCGGGGAAAGGGGTACGTTATGCCCCCAGGGCCAGATACTGTTCTCCATACGGGGGCGAGGAGAGGGAATTCGCACGCGGCCACCTACCCCACGCTGATGAGCGTTCAATTCTCTCTTCTCTTTTACAAGTTTTCGAATAATTTCGCTGCGCATAATGATGAAACCTCCCTGGTATATTATTCGAGTTTCGCAGCAAAAAATGTGACGAACCTGTTAATCTGTATAGGCGAGTTCGATTTCATCAATTTGACTACTTTAAACCGTTCAAATGGGAGCAACCGTTGTTACGGTACAGGATTTCTCAATGAAATACGCTCGACGAAATTACTTTTTTGAGAAAAATATTCTGGCCAACCAGAAATTAAACGAAGCTCTATCGAACAGAAATTGACTGTGAGTTCGAGACGTGCCATATAAAATATCTGTATGTTGGGAATGATAACATTTTTTATTCATCTATCGAATAATGATACTGTGTGACAAACTAACGTAAGAGGAACCTAAAGCGACTAAAATTGTTAATCATTTCGTAATCAATAAAACAAAAAAAAAAAAACTAAACTAACAACGTTCCAAACAATTATTATCGAGTCAACGTTCCAAATAATGATTGTCGAGTCAAACGTCTACAATTTTCCTAAGTAAAACTATGAATTCGACGATTTTTCTAAAAAAATATCGTTATTCCTTTCTTAATGTATCGTCCACTTTTTTTTTTTCCTCTCCATAATTTTCACCGTCTTGGACGAGCTATTAATAACTTTAATGCTCTTATTGATTTTTTTTGTAATTTCTAGGCTTGGAAACTTTTTTCCTTTGGAAGACTATTTTAATGCTTGGCAGCCTTTAAGACTCTCTTTCTCCCTTTCTCTCTTTCTCTCTCTCTCTCTCTCTCTCTCTCTCTCTCTCTCTCTCTCTCTCTTTCTTTATACCTTCGGTTCTCGTTAAACTCGCTAAAACCTTTGAAATTTCTCGCACGATCGAACGCGTTTAAATTCCAGCGACTAACAATCAAAGCCGTTTGAAACTCGTGTCGTCGATAATTCGACGAATCGAAAGCGGACTGGTAGCTACCTGATGCTCCCTTTTTCACGCAGACACCGTTGACTTTTATGCTCGATTCGATTTCACAACGTACCCTTTGCCAACATTTCACATCCTACGCTCGACCTTTCGCGGTTTTGTAGGATTTTAACGTTAACAACGAAGAACAAAGGTGGAGGGCAGAGTTATCGGAAGCTTTCGCTGACCTCCCGCGATAATTCGACGCAAAGTGCATGAAACGGGAAAGGTTAACGAAATGCATAAATTGGTTATCTTTTCCTTTTTTTTATTGTTTTTTTTTTTNTTTTTTTTTGTTTAAATGAGATGTATAAAATGTAGACAGACTTCTGATATTTAATTGTACTTTGACATCGATAAAAATTCTGCAAAACTTACTTCATACAGAATAATCGGTTGTTATATTTTGTGGTATTCAAGCACGATATTAAAATTGAAAAATTGAACATGCTGCTGAAAGCATGGAACTTGTATTTAAAATATATTTAATAAATACAGCAAATGATCGAAATTCCTACATTCGTTCGAATGAAAAATAACTAAGTTCCAGCACTTTCAAATATCAGAATTATGTGTCGAAACGCATTCGGTCAATATTCTCACTTATCCAATATCAGAAATCTTTATTTGATTAATATTTATTTTTCGTTTGTTGAATGAAACTAACTCTATTATGATATTTCTATATAAGCACTGTTAAATTTAATTTATAAAGTAAAAGAGAAGGTTGATAAATGTCAAAATACGTGAATTATTTTTGGCAGAAATGGAGTGAAAAGAAAATAAAACAGTATACATAAGTACACTGTTTTATTCTACTGGTAAGTTAAACAGAGTATCGACAAATGTAATAATATAAACCTGTTATAGCAAAAGCACAGAAAGATGGAAAAATATGAACAATAATAAGAATTCTAAATATTTATTCAATAATATTTGCTCAATATACGGTTTAAACAGAAAAAATAACAAAAAATCCGAAATATCGTGCAGAACAAAGTGTAAACATTCGTCAAAGATTTTAAAGATTTTGCACTACGAACATTTTCTAGAAGAGGAAAATTTCTACAGCTACGTAAAAAAAATATACAAACTCGTGTACATGTAAATGGTAATTTGTTGTGTTAAGAGTAAGTTCGTTAAATGCAGTCAGTACAGTTAAAAGTAAGTTTGTCTAAATACGGTCATTTGCTCAAATTGCTATATAATAAAGACAAAAGCAGAAATTATGTAAAACGAAACAAAAGAGAGCGTTTATGTTTCAACCGACTCCGGAATAAAAATTTTTTCATCTTACAGCCGATGGTATTTTATCAAAAAGGAAATGCGAGACGTCGGGGCGGTAATTGGGTCATTTTGAACTTCCGTATTGTACGAAATTTTATCGTGTGAAGATCGCACATGTGAAGAAAATTAAAGAAAGAAGGGAAGCCGGTATCCCTTATCCATTAGATCTGCCGGAAAAAAAAGGCGAGGTTAAGCTCGTACTATCAATTACGTTACCCCAGTTCTAAAGCTTACTTTACACGAAATTGAATCAAGACGCCACGGATAAAATTTGTTGCGACAATGAATTCGTTTTAAAATAAGTTTGCCTACGCGATTAAAAGACTGATCAATGTTGTGCGCTCAATTTCATTACGCGTCAGTTAATATGGATGTTACTTAAACATATTTTACAATTTATTAAAAAAAAAAAAAAAAAAACACGAGCTACTCTTTTGGAGTTTAATTTCAAATACATACATATATAGCTATGTGCGTCGGTAACCGCTGGGACAATTAATTATATTTTTAAATAATTATCATTATCCAATAATTATGGAGCATGTTGTATAATTGCCATGAGCAATTGTATAATGTTGGTACTACATAGCAATAATATATAGTATAATTATTGACTGATTATAAACAAAAAAATAGCCCGTGTTTCAATTTATATTATTCGATAATTACGTATTGTCACATATTTTTATACAATTGTAATTATTCAATAATCACTTTATATATTGCAAGTGACTAATTTGTAAATATTACCTGAAATTTATAATTAATGAAGCATTAACAGGAATTATCTACTTATATTAATTAATAAAACTTTACATTCCACGTGTATACATTTCAAAGCTGGTAATTCTAATAATGTTCATGTTCGATTTTCATTCGGATTTCGATCGTAGTTCGCGAAAAATTAAATGTTGTAATTTGTACGAATGTTTCGATCCATTGACCGAAATTCTTATATGTTGCGTAGGTCAAATAGCATGTAGAATGAAACTTGAGGATTTAATTTAGAAGACGCAATCACAAAAGTTTACAAATTTAGCCTCTTAATTAATTTTGATTTACAGAAATGAAATTTTCATAGTTTTACGAATATATAAATGCTACAGCCATCTAGCGGCGAAGAGATGGAACTAATCTTCTACAAGAATAGAATCACAGACAAGGGATAACAATGGACCTAGCATCCTATGGAACTTCCTGTCCTATGCTCTGAAATACCGACATAGTAGAAAATCACTGGTTTTTTAGCGCACTCTACATCTAAACAACGGTGAGTTTGGGAACTACATCGTAAAACGATGTGTGTTGATCAAGTAGTGAATGCGCCAGAAATATGATTTTTGAAATGCATTACTGTATTGTCGAATTTTCAATACCGAAATGTGAAATTAGTAACTAACCGAAATCATTCTATTATACATCCTACAAAGCTCTATTCATGTTTTACAGAATTACAACGGTTTCTTTTCATAGTAAATTGAAATTCTAAAGTTATTACTAATATATTGAAGAACTTATCAACTCATATAAATTTTATCAAAAATTCAATATAATATGCGGAATTAAAGAAAAAAAAAAGAACAATCCTCTCATTTACAGATATAATCGTTGTAGAAGAAATAATTAATCCTTTCTAAAACTTTCTAAAATATTTTGTACGAAAAATATACAAATTCGTACGAAATATTTTCGATACGCTTACAACATAGTTATCTAGACATCATATATTATTTATTTTTCATTAATCTAATGTGTAAGTACCTAACAAAAATACCTAAACCAGATCGCAGCCAATCAACTCGTTTTACTTCAGTCATTAAATTTTGTAACGAGCATTCCGTTTTGGACACTTAACAGAATTTTCTATATTTAGTGTATTCTACGTACAATCTTCTTTTGTTGACGTCAAAAAGATTTATGAAATAAATTTAACAAGATATATTTAATTACCATTAAACAATACCTAGGTATCTTTCCATAGTCCATGTCATTCGACCATTCATCCACGCATTTGAAAGTTGATAAATCTGTAACAAACTTATTTGTTGGATTAGTAGTTTAAAAAATTTAACACAAAAATTCCACACCACTAAAATAGTCCAGACATTTGGAAAAAAAAGCA